AAGCTCGGCGGCACAGCCGCCGCTCAAGCGGCTTGCCCGTTACATTAGGCTCTGGAACAAGGTATACGTATGTGCAAGTAATCGCCTACGCATATATGTACCTGAGTTCAGATACTGGTAACTTCACAAACGAGGTCCTTATTGGTCTAGATAACTAAATTAGACTTGCTTGAAAATACCAGAGATTTGATATTTTAGCTAGCTACACACTCATTTTCTCGTCTGCCACGAAAATGCAGCTTCCAGAATCGTAAGAACTCTTTAGAGCAAGAAGACAACGCCAAAGACTACAAAACACCAGTAAGAGTTCGCCAAAAGCCGTGAAGATGCTGCTGTAGGAACTGTGGTAGGCTCAGTACCGACAGGGCCGGTGGGCTGAGCTTCGGATGGCTGCGAAGAAGTGGGGATATTCCCAGAGGGATTTCCTCCAGGGTACTGTCCAGGAGACGGTTCAGGAGTTCCTCCAGAAGACTGTTCAGGAGACTGTCCAGAAGACTGTCCAGGAGACTCTTCAGGAGACTGTCCAGGAGACTCTTCAGGAGTTCCTCCAGAAGACTGCCCAGGAGACTGTTCAGGAGACTGTTCAGGAGACTGTCCGGGAGACTGTTCAGGAGTTCCTTCAGAAGACTGCCCAGGAGACTCTTCAGTAGACTCTTCAGGAGACTGTCCAGGAGACTGTTCAGGAGTTCCTCCAGAAGACTGTCCAGGAGACTCTTCAGGAGACTCTTCAGGAGACTCTTCAGGAGACTGTCCAGGAGACTGTTCAGGAGTTCCTCCAGAAGACTGTCCTGGAGACTGTCCAGGCGGAAGCGATGCAGGCAGACATGCTTTCATGATTTGTTAATTCTTGTACATAAAAGCAGGCAGACTGGGAAGGGACAAGTTGAGTTAACCTACTATTCAGCGTGATTGTCTCAAGAGTTCGGGTACTTCTGACGATGATGTTCTGGGCCTCCAACGCAGAGCAGAAGCCAGCAACGATTGCCAATTGGCCAAGAACAACGACTGTCTTCATCATGTATATTTTGCTGAAAGGTCGGGTATCAGATGTAATATGCGTCAGCAGAGAGTTCGGCCGGCAGGCGCTTTTGAACGACAATTTATAAGTGAGGGGACAGGCCGGTGGAATGGTGCGGGGGGAGCGTATGTTCACTTGAGAAATTTTATTATAACCCTGAAACAGAGCAATGAGCTAAGTAAGGTTACCTCCATAGTATCAACAGCTAGACAGTAGAGTTTGTGGCTGACGTCATCTTCATATGCAGCTGAAAGAACAGTGTGACTTTTCCTATCCCAGCTATCCCAGAGTTTCTCGCGCAGCATAAGCTGTATCGTTCTGCAATCAGCCGTACTTGTTTACTTTTAGTGGCGCTCTGTGGCGCGCGCTATGGCGGCAAACTTCAACCTAGTTTCGGTCGTTCGCCGTTCAGCCTTTTGCCGTCAACCAAAGTGGCCTTACGAACCCGCACATTAGGGTTTATGGCTGACTTCATCTTCATATGCAGCTAAGAGGCTTTTGTGGCTTTTCCTATCCCAGAGTTTCTCGCGCAGCATAAGCTGTATCGTTCTACAATCAGCCTACTTGTTTACCTTTAGTGGCGCTCTGTGGCGCGCGCTATGGCGGCAAACTTCAACCTAGTGTCGGTCGTTCGCCGTTCAGCCTTTTGCCGTCATACACAATGGCCTTCCGAACCTGCATTTAGCGAACGTACATGGCGCTAAGAGATACGTTCCAGGCGTGCCACGGATACTCTCTCCCGTACATGCGCTTGTTGGTGCCGCCTCCGACAAATATCGTTCCATAATTCCAGAGCGTCGGACAGACTCCGAACCAGATCTCCGCCAGGTCTCTCTTTCGAACCAAATATTGTACAATTACCAGTTGAGAGTTCGGATTGCATGTGTTAGGGTTGTCAGCAATTGTTGGGAAGGATTATGGCATAGGAACACAAGGAAGATCAGCTCAACTCCTTGTGTTATTTTTGCTATAACTTCTAGTCATTCTACAAATATCAAAAGGCAGGAAATCAATTCTATTTAGAATAGTTAGAAGGCAATTAGATTGCCTTCTCGGTGGTTACGGGCAGTCACGGGGGCGCCGGAGTAATCGATTACTACCCGGCCATCAGGCTTTCTATCCATACACCATGCACCATATGGAAGGAATCCTGTATGGATTACCAAACTTTCGTCGTATGGAAACTTATTCCATACGTATGGAATACAGAAAATGACGTCATAGTTCGCTACTATACTACCCTACATAAAATGCACCGCTAACTCTTGCAGTGAAACGAGAAATCGGAGGTGGATTATTGTCACATTATAAGTGCGAGTAAATTGCGACCAAGAAAGGTGTACTTTTGTGTGCATGGGTGAAGAAAAGCTATTTGTGTGACTAAATGTGTCATAATGGCGACAAAGAGCTGTAGACATCGGCAGGCCGACCGCGAACTCATCGACGTCATCCAGTAAAATCCGCCGTTCAGTCAGCCTGTGAGAAGGACAAATATTATTCCGGTGTATTTCCATACGTATGGAATACAGACATCTCATATGGAATACAATTAATCCATATGGAACGCTCCATATGGATTAACTTATTCCATACGCGTATGGATAGAAAGCCTGCCGGCCATTACAGCGGCTTGAAGTCGATGCGGTGTCATGCTAAAATTTGACTTTATTCATCAAGACACAGGACTTGAAGCTTTCCACTTGCAGCTGTGGCTCTCCACAGCTGAAATAGCTGAAGTATAACTTAGTAAATTGAGTTTTACTAGTGCAATTTGTGTGATATTGATTTTCATGCCAAGCTGTTTTCAATTTGGCTATGGATCCCACTTCAGCTAATTCATCAAGACACAGAACTTGAAGCTTTTCCACTTGCAGCTGTGGCTTTCCACAGCTGAATAGCTGAAGTATAACTTAGTAAATTAAGTTCCACTGGCGCGATTTGTGTGATATTGATTTTCATGCCAAGCTGTTTTCAATTTGGCTATGGATCCCACTTCAGCTAATTCATCAAGACACAGAACTTGAAGCTTTTCCACTTGCAGCTGTGGCTCTCCACAGCTGAAATAGCTGAAGTATAACTTAGTAAATTGAGTTTCACTAGTGCAATTTGTGTGATGTTGAATCTCATAGTATTTGTTTTTAGTCTGGCTATGAATTCCAATTTGATATTCGGTGGAGAGAAGACGTGGGCCAAGGACACATATGAGGAGGATGTTAGAAGTATATATGGCCCCATTCGTGCTGGTGAAAACCTCGACCAACAATCACCAACTCATCTCACATTTGCGAGCATCTTGCTCATTCTTCAATCTTCGAACTGTCATACCTTATCCTTCTGTGATCATCAATCTTCAATTCACTGTTTGAAGATATGATCAGACTCTGCAGGAATGCGATCCTTCTATGGGCAATTGGTAGCGCTACCGCCGCTGTTGTCCATAGAGCTGGTTGTACCCCTACGGCTATTGTCGAGCTGCAGCCATACAAAATAATTTGTTCTGGGGCCACTATAGAGTCTACAAGTACTCGGTCTGTTTATGTGGTTACATTTTGACAAGTAAGGGTGGCAGACTGATTCTAAAGTAGAACTTACAACAGCTGCGAAACAACGACGCCCGGCATCGTCACCACTGTGCCAGGCACCTGCACGGAGACGACGTCGTGCCCGCCTGTCACGGTGACACCTCCGGTGGACTGCGTCCATCCATGCACCACCACAGTTACGACGTTCCCGCCGGCGTCGACTACGATGCCGCCAGATGTCACGACCACCGTCCCGGGAACCTGTACGGAGACCACGTCGTGCCCGCCCGTGACGGTCACCCCTCCGGTGGACTGCGTCCATCCATGCACCACCACAGTGACGACGTTCCCGCCGGCGTCGACTAC